GAAACCGACACTGGAGACCCAAAGATAGAGAAGACTTACCCAGGTGAAGGGAGAGGGGAGAGAAGGGAGGAGAGACTGGAGAGACGGGAGGGGAAAGCATGTTCCAAGTTAAACAAGAGTAAAGTCCTACAGGCAAGACAACACTCATCACTTAGCTAGAATTTGTAATACCAAGAGGCACAGGATGAACAATGAAAAGTCAAGGGGGTCGGTTCATGGAGGACCTTGTAAGTCACACACCATTAAAGACTTTGGACTCCATGGCTGGGCGTGGCGACTCACACCAGTAATCCCGGCACTTTGTGAGGCCGAGGCTGGAGGATCACTTGAGTCCAGAAGTTCAAGACCAGCCTGGCCAACATAGTGAGACCCCATTTACACAGAAAAGGAAAAAAGAATTTGGACTTTATCCTAAGGGACTATGGACAATTACTGAAGAGACTGAGGGTTAAGAATATTAATTTAGAAAGATATTCCAACCTAACCTTGGAGAAAGGACTGGACTAAGAAAGCTCAAGGGAAATGGTTGTCATACAGCCAACAGATGCAAACGGCCATCATTAGGGAGGAGGCAGTAGGAATGAAAAGTGGGGAATGAATCAGAAAGGTACTCACTATCTGACCACTCAGTACCAGACGTGACTTCATGTTAAGAGGCCCACATTTAGACGGTTATTCAGAGGACCAAAAAATCATCTTAATGTGAAAAAGTTCTCCACTGACCACTTAGTGAACACATAGCTCTCATTTAATGGTTGTTCTATCCTCCCTGGGAGAAGAGCACTCACATCCATCCTGGACCAAATCACCAAGAAGAGCCACAGCTTCTCTCATTCTCAGATGTTACACACATTAAGGGCACGACACAATGACAACGCAAATACAAGGAAAAAAAAAACAAAGGCCCTGTGAAACTGAAAACATTATAGAAGATGAGCAATTTTCCAAGTTCAGTGGAAACTAAGCTGGAGAATACGGGAAGTATGCCTATGCCAAACTAGGATCCAGGAGACTCAGACTAAGAATTTAAGAAGGAAAAAGCAACAGGGACCTAAACCCACTTTAAAGGAAAAGGATCTGCACTTCAAGCAGTTTGGAGAAGGCTCTGGGAAAACTGCCTAAGCTCTGGAACATGTTTTGCAAAAAATGCCCCATTCATGATCTTCTGTGAAGGTCAAATGATGTAAAAAAAGATCATACACAATTTTTTCTTTTTTTTTTTTTGAGACAGAGTCTTGCTTTGTCACCCAGGCTGGAGAATAGCAGCATGGTGACAGCTCACCACAACCTCTGCCTCCTGGGTTCAAGCGATTCTCCTGCCTCAGCCTCCCAAATAGCTGGGATTACAGGTGCACGCCACCACTCCCAGCTTATTCTTGTATTTTTAGTAGAGATGGGGTTTCGTCATGTTGGCCAGGCTGGAGGAGGAGTTGGAGGACAGGTCTCCAACTCCTGTCCTCAGGTGATCTGTCTGCCTCAGCCTCCCAAAGTCCTGGGATTACAGGCATGAGCCACCATGCCCAGCTACATCACATATATTTTTAACAAAAAAAGAATGACAAATATGCAGCAAACACTTGACTTATTTTTAACACATAAAAGTTGCTATTATAACCTAAATTAACTAAACAGCAAATTAAGTGAGCTTTTAAAAAATGCTTTTGGTTTCATTCTTCAAGTACTATGAACAGTTTTTTTCATTATTTTCTATCAAAGACTGGTAAACATCAAGTGAGTATCCTTCTAATGAAAAATAACCTTTGATAAAAGGGGCGCAAAAAATAGCTGCACAGTAAAGTCAGCGCTGATTCCAATCCCGATCCTGACATGCATTAGTTCTGCACCCTCTGTCTCATCTGACCACTGGGAACACCACCCTTGCGCTTCTGAGAGGGAAATGAGATGATGTCTATGAAGCCCTTGGCACGGCACCAGATACTCCTGCAGTAGGTGCGCCCGGCCTCCAGCCCACTGAGGCCACTCCGCGACCACCCATGCCATTTTCACTACATCGATTAACAAAAGATATTTCTTATGGCGGTTTTAAGTGGACTCAAGTAGCAATACTGAAACAAGGACAATGTATGATCACGAAATGTTTCTGCGGAAAGTCTGAGGAAAAAGTATCTTATTAAGATGTGACTCCTAACTGTAATCCAGGCACTTTGGAAGGCTGAAGCAGAAGAATGCTTAAGCCCAGGAGTTCAAGATCAGCCTGGGCAACACAGCAAGACCCCATCACTACTAAAGTTAAAAAAAAAAAAAAAAAAAAAAGATTAGCCAGGCATGGTGGCGCATGCCTGTAGCCCCAACTACTCAAGGAGGCTGATGTGGAAGGATCACCCGAGTCCAGGAGTTCCAGACTGCAGTGAGTTATGACTGCACCACTGCACTCCAGTCTGGGCAACACAGACGTCCTAGCTGGGGAGAAAAAAAAAAGACTTCTATTAAAAAAACAAATTCCTGGCCAGTCACAATGGGGCATGCCTGTAATCCCAGCACTTCAGGAGGCTAAGGCGGGTGGATCACTTGAGGTCAGGAGTTCAAGACCAGCCTGGTCAACACAGTGAAACCCCATCTCTATTAAAAATACAAAAATTAGCCAGGTGTGGCGGCATGAGCCTGTATGTAATCCCAGCTACTCGGGAGGCTGAGGCAGAAGAATCACTTGAACCAGGAGGTGGAGGCTGCAGTGAGCTGAGATCACACCACTGCACTCCATGGTTACCTTTTATGATAAGACCACCTAAAATATACTCTCTTAGCAACTTTTTTTTATATACAATACAGTGTTATTAACTACAGTCCTTACACTGCCCATCAGATCTCCAGACTTATTATCCTATATAAATGCAAGTTTATTCACTCATTTTTAAAGATATCTATTTATCACTTTAATGGCTTTTGTGAGAAAGGATTATACTCATCCTCCAAAGTCTTTAATTTTGTTTGCTTGTTTTTCTAATTATTCTACAGAAAAAAACAACTACAAAATATTTTTGTTAGTCTTGCAGAAGTAGAAGTGCTTAAGCTATTTGAGACAGGAAGGAAAAGTAAATTTATTTTTTTTAGTTAGGGTAGAAGCACTGAGGTATTTAGTTATGTAGACTGACATCGCTGATTCCAATAACAAAATCTGAGTAAAAACGTTCTACTTTAAAAGACTGAAAGTTAGAATTGTCTTTAGGACGAATCTACTTGTTTTAGTTTTGTTCCTAATAATCCTCGCTTACTATCTGATGTTTGCGAGGTTGCATGAAGAACCCTTACAAGGGGTTTTAATTATCACAATTTGTTTACACACTTTTATTTAAATTTTAACAGTACTGCATTTTGGCCAAAGGAAGTAATCAATTTTCTACTGTGGCAAATTTATTGAATGTTAGCATTATATTTAAGAAAGAACACACTGACATTTATGCAAAGAATGTTTTATTTTAACAAAACATATTCATATAGTGCCCTGAGTTTTGAATTAAAAAATTGAATACTAGTAACTCTTGAGAGGAGGTAGAAACCAGGAGAAACCCCTACACTGTTTCACAAAGGCCATTTTCTTTCTTTTTTTGTGTGTGTGTGTTGTTGTTGTTGTTAATCAGTGAGAGCTCGTTATCTTGCTCAGGTTGGCCTTGAACTCATAGCCTCGCCTCCTCAAGCGCCAGGACAACTGGTCGGAGCCACCGCAGCTCCCCACAAAGGCCATTTTCTAATCATGCTATGGACTAAATCAGTAACTGTGTCCTCTACTAAGCTACTGGGGGGGCCCATGTTGAACTCATCTTAATATTTTCAACCCCTAATGTAACTCACGCCAGGTGCTCAACAAATTCTTGATCAATAAGAAAATGAAGCATCACAAAACTAAACAGGGCACATGAAATTATTTCTCCATTTTAAAAATAGAAAAAAAGTATTAAAGGATTTAGTCAGGTGACACCTCTATAAAAGGGTTAAACTGTCACTGCAACTTACATCCTCTAATTCCCAGTCCGATATCCAACTCACCACACCAGCTTATGAAGACTGAAGGCGCCCTAGAAGGCTGGCGGAAGCTGCGAAGTGTCTTTTTTCATCAAACTGCTTTTACATGTTATCACTATCTCTGTCATGGATCTATCACAAACTCACGTTCTAACGTTGTGTGTGCACATCTCATCTCCCTTACGAGCTAAATGAAGGCAAGAAGTGCACTCTCTCTTCCCACGTTTAGAATGGAGGATGTGCTCTCTTCCTCCCACTGGACATTGGCTTTTTTCTTTCTCACTTCCACTGCTCTTCCATGCTGAATCAATTCCTCAATGAATGACTATGTGCCCTACTCTAACAACACCTTTAAGAAGCCAAAAGCGGGGGATTGGGGATGGTTAGCATTAGGAGAACTACCTAATGTAGATGATGGGGTGATGGATGCAGCAAACCACCATGGCATGTCTATACCTACGTAACAAACCTGCACGTTCTGCACCGTACCCCAGAACTTAAAGTACAATAAATAAATAAGTATTAAAAAAAAAAAAAGAAGAAGCCAAAAGCAATGAAGCCATCATGAGTAAAGCTAAACAGAAAGCAAGGTCTGAATGTCCTGAAGTTAAACAGAAAACAAGCTCCAAAATATCAGCCCAACAAAGGGGTCTGTGGAAGGCCAGGGTGGCCCAGGTGAGCACGGGGCCAGTGGAGGCTCCTCCTCCATGACTCACGCAGCAGTCAGATTCGCACGAGGCCCTTTCTCTACTCCCCCGAATCTCCAGAAGCAATTATGTGATTCCATGCACACCCAGCAACCCCACCGCATCCAGGTTCTAGTAAGCTGGGTTGTGAACTGCTAGGAAAGAAAACTATGTTTATTCCACCAAAAATGTCGTTACCGTAAGAGCCTAATCATTATACATTTGCCCACCGATGGAGGACATGATACCTGGAAGGGATTAACAGTCTACTCTTTTTTATTCCTTCTTGCCAACCACCAAAAGTATGCCAGGAAGAAAACAAGAAAAACTTACTTTGAGCAGCCAAGTGAGAACTGAGTCACGATACGGAACGAATTTATTCTTGTTTTTGCCAGCACTCTGATCTGCAAGCGCTGAGATAACCAGGCCGAGGGTGGTGAGGGACCTGCATGGTGCAACAAACCGAAATCATTACAAAAATGGAAGCTATCAAATGTCACAGTTTAGCGCAAAGATTGAACACCAAGATGCCCTGGACCTGCAAGTGAAAAGGACCTGTCAGCATTTTGCCACTCAGTTAGTTCAAAAGCACACAACTTGAAATAGCTATTTTCTCCTAATACTGCCATAAGCAATAAAAACGCTTAGCCCAGTATTTTTTGGTACCCAAAAATGTGAGCTGTAAATCTTCAAGTCAAGGTAACATAAAAACCATGTATCTTTAAGAAAGGAAGACAGAAACACAATAATTAAACCACAGGACAAACAAAAATTGTATATATGCGATTCAATAGTAGGACGGCATCTGTGTGACGGTGCTCTATCATCTCCATTTGGTTTCTTATGACTCCTATGTGTCCTTCTGGGAGTCACAAGGACGGAAAAGCTTCCTGCCCATAATGAGCTAACAATTTAGCTTGAGGGAGAAAATTTAACCCTATGAAGGAACTGGTACACTAAATATGACTTCATAAAGTCTTAGCTTCTTGGACTTGGACAACTCCGACTGTTTATAAAAGGAAAAGCTCCATGTGGTTAGTGCGTGTTTCTCCAAAGAGCATCACACAGGTCAAGATCAACAGCTCCACTCTGAGAGATCAGCTACCTTTGATCTTCTCTATAGCTTAGACCAGTGGTTCTCACCTGGAGGGTGACTGGGCCCCCACAGGGAACAGCCATTGAGAGTGAGTTCGGGTTGACACAACTAGGGGTGTGGGGAGAGGTGGCGGCTACTACTGCCATCTAGTGGGCAGAAGCCAGGGATGCAGCTAGATACTCTGCAAAGCACAGGATCACCCTCCCATGAAAAGAATTACCCAACCCAAAAGGGCAATAGGATCACCGCTCAGAAATCCTGGCCTGACTGAGGCTGTGCTTTTCGGCCCCATCAGGCATCAGGCATCTCAACAAAACCTAAAATGAGCCCAGGCCCATTGAAAACACCAGAAAAAAATTCCAAATCACCTTGTTATTTTAATAACCACAGATGCTCCCCTCTTGGCTATTAAATCAATAAAGGAATAAAAATAAGGTTTGACAACTTACTTGTTTATGTTGCTCCCTTCCTTCAGCCTGTCCCCGGCAGCACCGGTCTTCGTTGCTCGTTCACTGCCAGCTAAATCCACCAGGCTGAGTTTGCCCACTTTCTCTCCAGACGTCTGCAAGGAAGTCAATCAACACTAAGAAACAGGAACACAGGGCCGGGCAAGGCGGCTCATGCCTGTAATCTCAGAACTTTGGGAGGACAAGGAATAAGGATCACCTGAGCCCAGGATTTCACGAACAGCCTGGGCAACACAATAAGATCCTCTCTCCACAAAAAATTTTAAAAAAACAGCTGGCCATGGTGGTATGTGCCTATAGTCCCAGCTAATTGGGAGGCTGAGGCAGGAGAATCGCTTGAACCCAGGAGGCAGAGGTTGCAGTATGCCGAGATTGCGCCACTGTACTCCAACCTGGGTGACAGAGTGAGACTCCATCTCAAACAAACAAAAAAAAGTATTGACTGTTACTTTAAAATTATTTTGTGCTGCTAAAACACACTATAAGAAAACTGTACACTCTAATGATGGAAACACAGAAAATTTATAAATGAAAGCTAATTATCTCAGAAACACAGTGCCTCCAAAATGGGCCACTTTGAAGGGTGCCCAACAAAATTCCCAGAGCAGTATATAAAGGTATTTCCAAGACTTAAATTTTACTATTAGAAACTGTGTTTAAAATTTCATGGCTATTTATCAATAATCCTGAGACAAAAGGCTTGCAATTCTGACATAAAAATTTAATCTGACCTTTATATGATAGAAGAATCCCTCAAAATTTCAGACATTTTCTAATATGTACTCCTTATTCCTATATAATTCTATTTTACTTCATGTCAGGGTTAGATTCACATCTTTTTCTAGTTAAGATATTATATACAAACAGATACACAGATACTGTTACCAAAGTGTTTTCTTATCAAGCACATACATGTAACATACTTTATACTTCAGTAACAATACAAGAAATGCAGGAAACCAACACCAAAATCTGTAGATTGCATAATTTTTAAAGCTTTCCTTTAAAATGGACGTTTATTTCCATAAATAAACATGCTGTTAACAAAAGGATATTCAGCGTCCCAAGTCAAAAATACTTTCGTTTTTTTTTTAAAAAGTCTTCAGTATGTTTTTTGTTTTATGGCGAAAAGGAAATAAGAAACAAAGAACTTTTTGTTGTTCCACTAATCTTGCTGTGATGGTAAAAGGAGAAAAATATGCTTTCAGCAGATGAAAATCCTGCCAAAATACAGCACTCTGCCAGGGTGATTATTTTACCTTCTGGCATTTGAAATGGACACACTAGGGGGTAGATATCATAATAAAAAAGTAAAATTCACATAAAAAGATGGAAAACGCAAATACACGGGCAACAGAGAAGCCTGCAATGTGGCAGAAGCATGTGTATCTCTCATCGAGTTTATCTTCATAAGATTCAAAGCCAACACTCAAAAAGTTCTTCTACAAAAGTGAGTGATTTTATAGTACCATTTCCCCAGTGTCATTTATTCCTTCTAATAGTGTTTCACAGAAGGCAACACTGCAAAAGAACCTCTGCTAAATCAGCTGGTTTTTTTTTTTTTTTTGGACACAGGGTCTTGCTCTGTTGTCCAGTACAGCGGGGTAATCACAACTCATTGCAGCCTCAAATTCCTGGGCTCAACCAATCCTCCCACCTCAGCCTCCCTATGCTAGGTCTATGGGCATGAACCATCCACACCCACACCACACATGCTAATTTTAAAATTTTCTGTAGAAATGGAGTCTCACTATGTTACCAGACTGTTCTCCAATTCCTGGGCTCAAGCAATCCTCCCGCTATGGCCTCCCAAAGTGCTGGGATTGCAGGTGTGAGGCACAGTGCCTGGGCAAGCAAGAGCACAACCAATGGCTCATGCAGTTATCCATCACAGTTTAAAATGCAAAAACTGCTGGGACAGAGACACTGGGCCACCGGCGCACTTAACTTCTGCTCCACCTTCCTTCAGTGGGAGCAGGCGGGGAGCTTAAAGCCACATTTCTCAGACTCCCTGGCAGCCTGGGCTCAGGATACACCTGCTAGAGGCTGGAAAGCAGAAGTAGAGCAGAGGCCAGCCACTGCCCCTTTCTGGCTTTTTCTGCTGGCAGACAGACTGGGGAAACACAAGCACATTCTCCAGCTCCCAGAATGCTATGAGGCAGCAGCATGGACAGAAGCGACCTCTCTCTTCCTGCTTCCTGGATCACAGCTATAGGTATGCCTGGAACTCAGAGTTCTACAGGTGTCCTCAGAGGTGGCACTGCCCCATAGCCAGATGTATGCTGTTCGGACAGTGATTCCTCAAGAGGTAGTCTAGAACCCAGATGTCCCAACAATCCCAAAATCACTTGCTTCCCTACATGAAATCCCTTTCTGTTGAGCTAGAGTGACTTCTGTTTCTTGTCCAGAGTCCTCATGGATACCTAAGTCTAGCCAGGACTTTAATTCATCTAACACCTGAAGAAGAAAAAAATAAACGACCATCCACTTAAGAAATGTAGAAACAGGTCATGCATCTGAACACCTACCCCAGACTTCGCATCGTAGAGTGTGTGTGTGAGGGTGATTTTGAAAACGGCATGGGATCGGCTACTCTCCTCGTTCATGTTGGTCGCAGCGACTGTGCGAGATTTGTTACCCTCAGACATCAACGACTCAATGTCCTAAGTGGAAACAAGTCACAGACCCACGTTTCATTACTCGTGTAATACACACTAAAACTCTGCTCCACCACAAAATGCATTATAAGTTTTGCTACTTAACAACATTTGGAGTTAACATTTTGTTTCTCAATGAACGTTGAGTCCCAGGGAGCGCAAGAGCCAATACTGTCTCTGAAAACTCAAATAAAAGTACATCATTTGCTACAGGTACAGAAGTGGCAGCTTTGGCTCAAAGTTCAGAAGCTGCAGCTGTTCATCTGCACACAAGATGAACAACTATGCCGTGCTAGCCCTCATCTAATACAGAAGTTTGAAAAAACTTAATTTCTTTAATACAGAAGCAATACAAATTCATTGTTAAAACAAATTAGATTATACAAAGAAGCACGCAACTAACTTGTGTTATTCGTCCCTTTATCCAGGCCTATCACCGACTACCACTGTCTTACCAGACCTGTTTCTAAAAATTAGAACCTCAAGAGACTAATTTTCTGCATTGATTTACCACTTGGTTGCTGCTAGTACTAAAAAACAGAGACCGCGAAATACAATAGGAAGATTATGGGATTTTTTTTTAATGTTATAAGCTCTGAAACAGTTAGACCTGGATTTTAGTTGCCTGAATAACAATGCAGATCTATGACACCCATCTGCCTCACAAGGATCTTATGAGGAGTGAGAAAAATGGTATATATACAAGTTGACTAGATGCTTCCCATTACCTAGTCTTCACTTCCTTCCAGTTAGGATGCCCAAATCTTCAACTTAGACTACATTTCCCAGATGCCCTTGCAGCTCAGTCTGGCCACATGATGTTTTAGTGGATAAGATTTAGAATTAAAATAGGCCATGTGGGAATTCTCCTTAAGGGAGTAGGCGTGCTATCACGTGTTGGTTCTGAGAGCCATCTTGAACTATGGGAATAAGGGCACTATCACCCCTCTCTATGCTAACCACTGGAAGGAATCTAGGTCCCTAATAACACATTTGGGACCACAATACCAGCCCTGGAGAGTCTACCTCCATATTTCTTTTCCATGAAAAGTCTTGTTTCAATCACCACTCATTCACCCACACTTTCAAATGCATAATGAAAGCACCTACGTAGACCAGGTACTTTTCAGACACTGAGGATATACAATAGGCAGAAGAGACAATAGTCCACGTTTCAAAGAACTTAACTGTTACATTTTTAAATGTTATATGCAACTGAACACAATCCTAACTGACATACATTACCAAAAACTGAAAAATCACAGGTTTCTACTAAAAGAATGTTTATGAAAAAATTCAACATGATACATAAAAAGCCTCCAAGTAAAAACATTAATTGCAAAAGGAAGTAAAAGTGGGCCCCAAAATGGGAAAACAGCAAAAGATAAAACTCACAATTTTCTACATCTATTCCAAACCCACTGTAGATCCATTAAGTCTGATAACTTTCCATTTAAAAGCAAAATCCTAGTCTATATTTATTCACTGGTCTCTGATCAACTACCTCATTTTTAGGATTTCTGTAAAAAGTGACTTATTAAGTGATGCTATGATACATTTAATTTTTTAAAATAACAACAAATTAAGCCAAGAAAAAAACGCCCCACCCAACCACACTGAATTTAAGTCATTCACATGCAGGATGCTGTTACCTTGTAGCTTGTGACAGCCAGTTTAGAAAGTCCATCCACATAAGGTCCCAACACACTATGCTCTCTGACTTTCAACGTCTGACGGCTTCTGTTCATGAAAAACAAAGAAGTGACTTTTTAACAATAGGCTGTTTCTGAAACGAACTCAGCTGTGCTCCGTAAAAATATACAACGAATTCAAGAAAGACCCCAAATCAATAAAACCAGTGGACTTGAGACCCAAAGAATTTAAACCAAACTTCAAATCCTCACTGCGAAGGAAACTCCATAATGTGAATAAATATCACATCACTCTAAAGGGTACATTGTGGGATGTATACTTACTACTGCAAAGAATGCAGAGTCAAATAAATATGAACAATCTATTTGTCTCACACAGAATGTGGTACAAAGAGCAGAAACACAGTAAATGTTAACTGTGCAAGAAAGGAAAACTACAGACCAGTCTCAGTCACGAAGAGAGACAAAAACAACAAACTGAATCTAATGATTTCAAAATACAAAATTGGGCTTATCTCAGGCCTTCTAGCTATCAACCATTGGAAAAAAAGATCCATGCACTTGGCTGGGCGAAGTGACTCATGTCTGTAATCCTGGCACTTTGGGAGGTCAAGGCCGAGACAAGCAGATCACTTGAGATCAGAAGTTTGAGACCAGCCTGGCCAACATGGCAAAACCCCATCTCTACTAAAAATACAAAAATCAGCCAGGCATGATGGCAGGCACCTGTAATCCCAGCTACTAGGGAGCCTGAGGCAGAAGAATTGCTTAAATCCACAGGGCAGAGGTTGCAGTAAGCCGAGATCACTCCACTGTACTCCAGGCCTGGGCGACAGAGCAAGACTCCAACTCAAAAAAAAAAAAAAGATCCATGCACTTTCATCACAGCCTAACGGGGGCAGGGAGTGGGGAAGTGTGATCATTTCAATATATGCATGAAAAAAGATTCAATAAAATTAAGTCTAGGGCGGTGGCTCACACCTGTAATACCAGCACTTTGGGAGGCCAAGGCAGGTGGATCACCTGAGGTCAGGAGTTCAAGACCAGCGTGGCCAATATGGTGAAACCCCATCTCTATTAAAAGTACAAAAATTAGCTGGACGCAGACGCACGTGCCTGTAATCCCAGCTACTAGGGAGGCTGAGGCAGGAGAACTGCATGAGCCCAGGAGACAGAGGTTGCAGTGAGTCGAGATTGTGCCACTGCACTCCAGCCTGGGTGACAGCAAAACTCTATCTCAAAAAAAAAAAAAAAAACTTTAAAATTAAATATTCATAAGTTTTTTAAAAAAAAACCTCTTAACAACCAAGGAATTAATAAACTCAACAAAGAACATCTGAGAAAAATGTAGAGCACAGACAGCATACTTAATGATATAGACCAAAAATATTACGAATATTTGTTGACGTGTCTGTCAAAGGGTTTATGGAGTACAAAGTCTGCACTAGGAGGAATATGTTCTTGAGATCTAGTGCACAGCACGGTGACTACAGTCAGTAACATAATGTGAATTTCAAACCTGCTGAGTAGATTTTAAATGTCTGCACCACAAAAAAAAGGTAAGTGTGTGAGGTGATGGATATGTTAATTAGCTTGATACAATCATTCCATAATATATACATGATCAAAACACATTGTACTCCATAAACATATATAATTCTCATTTGTCAATTAAAAATCAAATTCTAAAAAAGAGTATTTGTTAATAAGATCAATGGTGATTTTCATTTTATATTTTTGTTTATCCTTATTTTATACCACAAATGTGTGTCCATTTTTGAACTACACAAAATCTTGTGTTTTTTTAAATAAGTAATAAATTATAACGCTTAAAGTTTTCTTTATTTTTCTGAAACAGAGTCTCACTCTATCGCCCAGGCTGGACTGCAGTACCACGATCTCAGCTCACTGCAACCTCCACCTCCTGGGTCCAAGCGGTTTTCCTGCCTCAGCCTCCCGAGTAGCTTGGATTACAGGTATGCACCACCACACCCAGCTAAGTTTTGTATTTTTGGTAGACACGGGGTTTTGCCATGTTGGCCAGGCTAGTCTTGAATTCCTGACCCCAAGTGACCGGACCACCTCGGCCTTCCAAAGTGCTGGGATTACAGGCGTGAACCACCGCGCCCAGCCAATGTTTAGTTTTTTGGTGGTTCTTTGATGCCTGTGAAGAGAGGTGCATACTCCTCAACTTGATATGCAGGCTCCTTTATAATCTATTCTTGACCATGTCTTAGTCAGGCTTCTCCTAATCCTTACCTTAGGCAGGAGTTAATTTACTCTTGTCCATTTATACTATAATAAATTTCAGGCTCTAGAACAGCAAGAATAATGTCTTATGACTTTGGGAGCCTGCAATTCCTAGCACAAGTTCTGGCACGTAAGTAACACTAGGTGAATGAGCAAACTCTGCTAACAAAATGAAGTTGAGCGAGATTAAGGTGACACAGAGGACTCCAAATGTGTTAGCTTCTGTGACTGGAGACAGTGCTAGTAACTAAGAAGGCAGGAGAGGAAGGGAAGAAATGTGGAGCACATTCAGTGAATGACTAGCACAGAAACTGAACCACACTCAATCACCAATACCCATAATAAAGAAAGCAAGTAGAGGAAAGTTCTAGAACCACCCTTCATATCAACAGTAAAAGTAGGGGATAAGGAAATGACTGTTAAATCTAACATCTATAGTACTCTAAGATCAACCACTAAAAATGTCACTTATTACCATGTAACTCTTGATAAAGTAGATGCAGAATATCTGATTTACTACTCACCTAGCATATTTTCTATTATTCACTTCCTTTCATATTGCCTCTTAATGTATCCTCTATTATCTCCTGATTAAAACAAATTACTATATACTAGATGCTGAATTAATATAATTAGTGCTTCAATGAAAAAATGAAGTTTTCTCAAATGGTCTTTGACTGAAATGAGATCACCTTTAGAGTTTTTAATACATTTACTCTGAATTTTCAGAAACCGAAAAAAAAAAAAAACATTTCCCAAAAATTTTCACTGGGGAGATATAGCAGCAGCTTACTGACCGCTTACTGTATGCCAGCAAGTGTCCTAAGACCTCAGGTGTATCATCTCCGTCTGTCTGCACCACAGCCCTCTGAGGTAACCATATCCTATCATTTCCCTCTCCAAGTTCCCACTAGGCTCACAAGTTAGGCCTGGAAAGCCTAAGAAACCTGCGGAATAGGAAACAAGGAGAGGACCTAGATGCAGAGCTATTCAAATTCCAAGCTCTTTGGAATTTGCTGTTAACTACTTTAAGTAATTACTGTAAGTAAGCTGTTAATTACTAACCTATACACAAGACAAACAGAAGAATTACTAAAGACTGCACACATGCAGGTAAGTTCAAAAGATGCCACACAAGCACCTCGGACTAAGCACAAGAACGAACAGATACTAAGTCAGTCAGCTAAGAATTTCTGGGAAGAGTAGGTCTGGGTTGGATCTCAGAAAAGTGATGACCTTCGTACAGGTCAAAGTCCAAAGGAAAAAAAAAAAGTATTCCAGGCAGAACAGAAAAAAATATGAAAGGGTATAATATTAAGTAGGATGTGGGACCCTCTGGCCTCTTTGTTTTGGAACTTTTTTATTTCTTATTTCTTTTGAAACAGGATCTCATCCTGTCACCTAGGCTGGGGTGCAGGGGTTCACTGAAGCCTTAAACTCCTGGGTTTAAGCGATCCTCCTGCCTTGGCCTCCTTTTATTCCATGTTCACTTCTGTGCATCTTACTCTCCGACCACACTGAACTGCTGGATCCTTCTCCAAAGGTGATTAATTTACACCTTTGAGGTGTGGCAGAGGTTGTTTCCTACGCCTGAGTAGTTCTCACCCAACTTCCCAGTGGACAGACTTCCCACTCGGCACGAAAGTTATTAAGGAAATACACTCTGTAGAATCTTCCCTTCTCCTCAGAGCAGTATCAGTCATGGTCTCTTTGCTCTCTAATTTGTAGAAGCCTCCTTCACAAGTTAAAAGCTGATTACAGTGTATTTTAATCACTTGTTTACAAAACTCTCATTCTGTCCACACTGTGAGCGCTTGTATAGTGCCTGCCATATAATGATCACTCAGTAAATGTGTGTTAAGTAAAGTTTGTAGAGAAGCACTGAGCATCAATTCAATCTCGCTGTGAGAACCCTGAAGATTATCATCTTGGTCAAGGGAAACTGACAACAGAGAGGAGCTGAGGGTTCTGTTTGCTCTTGACTGAGAGTCACTAAGATTCCCTGCCTCTAAGATCCTGTTTCCTTGATCACCTTCCTCATCCAGCAAAACTAAGCGTCCTCCTGTTGTCCTCCAAACTTTCTGTGGGCCTCAGCTCATTTGGCTCTTTGACCTTCCTAATACCGTGTTTACATCGACAAGCCACAAACCGTGGTCATTATCTCCATCTCTCTCCACGGTTGCACTTCCTTAAAATCTGAACTCGAAGAAGTCTCAGTGAACGAAGAGATTTCTAGGATACCTCGCACTTCCTCACTGAGCTACAGCTGTACAGTCAAACCAGCGTTTGTGAAGGCCTCCTAAGACTTCTGACACAATTCTCTTTCAAAGTCTGTGCCATGAAATCGAGGGCACTTTTTTTTTTGTTCCTGAGAATCTTTAAAAATTCACTGTCCTTAAGACCAGCTTTCATCTCTCTAATTATGCCTTTCCCTCACCTCACAGCCTGCAAACAAACAACTGAATTCCACCTGAAATGTCCTGGCCTAAAAAAAAAACACTCGAGTCCAGGAGTTCAAGGCTGCAGTAAGCTGTGGTCGTGCCACTGCACTGAAGCCTGTGTGACAGAGTGAGACCCTGTCTCTAAAAACAAAGAAGATTTGCACTTAAGCCTATTTAAGTCTGTTTTCATTCACAATGCTAAAACACTAAAGTCTGAAAGTCGTTTACCCTTTGGGATCAAGGAGGTCTCGAACTTTTTCATTATAAATTTCCATGTAGGACACTTCTACTTTAAAACTCTGCTCTTCATTTTCCTCTTTCTGAGTTCGTTCGAAGAGTCCACTGCAAAGCCTTGGGATTAATCCCGGTTGGTCAGCTGTGCCCATCATGGTATAAGATTTTCCAGATCCTTAAAAAACGAAAATCAGAGTTACCATTGTCTCTTTGAGAAGTGAAATACATAACCCTCTTTCTATTGCTTCTAATAAATTATAAACACTTAGCAAAATACCAAAATGCAGTAAGAAATATACCCAAATATAATGAGAACAAGTACAGAAGCTTTCTTACTGCACATGCGAAAGTGAAAAGCAATTGTCCTTTAGAAAGAAAAATATAACATCTTCATACTTTTAAAAAATACCTAAAACAAGTAAGAAATAGTGAGGTGTGAAAGTTTTCTGAAATAAACTGGAAGAACCATGTAATTAATACTCTCATGCCTGCTCCCAACCAGTGATTGCTGCACAAAAAACACAGGTTATCCCTCTGGACCCCAGGGCAAATTAGCGCACTACCCTTTCACTCTAGTGTGGAAACTAAAGAATACTCTTCTTTTTCTTACATAAAATTATTTTCTCGGCTGGGCGCGGTGGCTCATGCCAGCTCACACCTGTAATCCCAACACTCTGGGAGGCCCAGGTGGGTGGATCACCTGAGTTCAGGAGTTCAAGACCAGCCTGGCCAACATGTTACCCCATCTCTACTAAAAATACAAAACCCTATCTCTACTAAAAATACAAAAAAAATTAGCTGGGCATGGTGGCGGAAGCCTGTAACCCCAGCTACTCAGGAGGCTGAGGCAGGATAATCACTTGAACCTGGGAGGCAGAGGCTGCAGTGAACCGAGATCATGCCACTACACTACAGCCTGGAAGACAGAGCGAGACTATTTAAAAAAAAAAAAATTATTTTCTCCATTGTAAAATACAAAGAAAATTTAGAAAACACAGGAAAATAGAAAAAAACTTACATTACCATAGTCCTACCACCCTAAAACAAATAACTATTGATACTTAAGTATAATTCCCTTTGTTTTTAGCAGCAGTGTTTTTGCAAATATGCTTTTAAACCTACAAGTTGCTGCTTTTTGTCACGTGCTATTTTATTGTTATCATAATATCTAAAGCTAATGTGCCACACTCCGTAAGTCCCAGGACTTTTGTAAAAAGTTTGCACAATGTGAACTCGTTATGACAACCCTACGAGAAGGTCTATGCTCATCAGCCTTTGCAGAAAAGAAGACTGAAGGGCAGAGACGTTAAGTAACTGCCCAGGTCTCTCCGCTGGCCAGCTGCAGGAGCAGGACTGGAGCTGGCGCTGCCTGGCCCAGCTTTCTGCTCTTTCAGCGCGACATAGGAGGCTTCTTGGAAACAAACATCCAATGCATTCTTCTGTGAGAACATTTCCAGTTAGACAAGCTGTATGTGTTACTCTTACAAAAGTAACTAATTTACTTCAAGTAGATTTTCTTTTCTTGACCACAGAGATGCAAAACCCAAAAAGTTTATTAGTTATTACTTTTTGAAATATTAACAAGTACATTCTTTTTGGTATTTTTTCTGCTATGATACTTAAAGCCTTAAAAAGGCACGATGTATGGGCATGGCTCATAGTATGTTCAACAGTCATAGCTCTGTATTTTTTTTAAAAAAAAACAACCCAGCCAGTACCTTGTGAGAAAAATGAGTAAAGATAAAAGATCCCAATCCTAATTTTATTATACCCATTTAAAAACAATGTTATCGACTACTTTCAACATCTACAGTACTTTCTGAAAACAAAAATAACAAGGAGTCATCAATGTTACTCAGTAAAATAAACATGGTTCTATTTTCTCTTTCACTGATGGTTGTTTACGGGATTTCATGTTACTTACCAGTCTGTCCATAGGCAAAGATACATGCATTGTAGCCGTCAAAAGCATTCTGCAGGATATTTTCCCCAAGGCACTTGAAAACAGTATCTTGACCTTACAGAGAGAGAATAACAGATGCTATTTTTAGCCAAAACCACATATGAACAATTCACAAAACAAAAAGAAACAAAAATCTCCAACATGTATAATCAGCTTATTTGTCTTCAAACAAGATTTTTAAATTTGATGAATGCGCCCAAAGGCTTATGCCTCCCAGGTTATTTCTAATTAGCACATGACGGGAAAGTTAGTGCAAAGCTCCCTGTACTACATACTTGAATAAACACTACTAAGAATCCCCTGCAATGCAGAGCCAACGAGCTGCTCACTTTATATTCAATGATTATAAACGTCTGAAATTTATACTTGGGACCCAGGTGTACCTGAATTCAACTAGGTGCCACTCAGCTAATGCTTTTATTTGGTGGGTACCAGAGTTCAAATAATCCAGTATACCAATGCCCTCTCCTTTTCCTCAATGAAAATTTCCAATTACAGGATCTACAATACATACCAGTTAGGCCAGCGAGTTGGAGCCTGGAAATTTCCCTCAGCTTTCAATCACAGACATAAAGAATAGAGTCAAGCTCTCCCCCACAGGCCAAATGAGATATGTCAATAGTCAGTAATCGAATGTGAATCTGACAAGTCACCCTACCTCACTTAGTCTCGATACCATACGGAAGAACTGGATGCCTTTACGTTAAGACAAGGATATTCCAGTAGATCTCACTTGCTAGTTTTTTTGTTTGTTTGTTTGTTTTACCAGTTAATTTACCATACATGCTCTGATACTGTGCCATCTAAACCAAATGAACCTTAACTACAAAACAGGCATACTACTCATCTTTCTCCTAACAGAAGCCAAAATAGTATGATGCTTAATATTTAAGAGATTGTTTAAAAACAGGTGACAAAAGCAATTGGGAAAAAAGGCAATCAAAGGCTGTCACTGCAGTCCTAAACTTGTGGTGAGATGGGGCTTGAGGCAGTCACCATTTAGAAGAAGAATAAGAGTCACAGACTTCCGGAGCAAAAAGAAAACGGAGAGAGAATATGGTATAGTCTTCTCCATCAGAGAGAAAACAGAAGCTCTGACAGGTGAGGTGATTTACGGAAAGGCGCAGAGGTGGTGAGGAGCCTAGGGTTCCTTTTCTCCTTGGCCAGTGCTCCTCTTCTATCACTATGCCATCCTGCCTCTCCAGCCCAGTCTCAGGCCTCCAGGGCAATCTAAGGGGCGACTGTGTGCTCCGGGCCTCATGTGAGGCCTGGGGCATGTGAGTGTGGAATAATCACTGTGTGAACTAGTCACGTAGTATCACCAACTTATACCAAGAATGGCACACAGTGATCTCCCATTTTCCAACCAACATTAAAAACTCTAATAGCAGACAGGGTGCGATGGCTCACACTTGTAATCCCAGCACTATGGGAGGCCAAGGCAGACAGATCATGAGGTCAGGAGATTGGGATCACCCCAGCTAACATGGTGAAACCCCCTCTCTGCTAAAATACAAAAAAATTAGCTGAGTGTAGTGGCATGCACCTATAGTCCCAGCTACTCAACAGAGGGAGGCAGGAGAATCGCTTCAACCTGGGAGGCTGAGGATGCAGTGAGCCAAGATCACGGCACTGCACTCCAGCCTGGGCAACAAGAGGGAAAACTCCGTCTCAAAAAAAAAACAAAACCAAAACAAACTCTAATAAGACGGGAGGGTGTTGTCTGTAGTTTCTAAAGTTATGCAAAATAGTCCTGCAGTAATCATATATACCCTACGGTAATTATGTAGATATAGGTTACCATCCACATGTTGCAGTCTTTTATATCGTTGGGGCACTCAGGAAACAATGTGATCTTCTCCTGACCTCCTTTTACCTGCCCAAGGCAAGACTCTCATCTGATTGTAGGTCAAGAGCTTCTCATTCCACAAGGTCCTGCCTCATATCTTGGAGGAAGGAATGCTACACAGAACTGCCAAGAAAAGTCTGAACAGACAGGACTTGCTGTGTTCAGATCATTTGCTTTTTGTCCAATTACACTTCTTTTTTTTTTTTGAGATGGAGTTTTGCTGTTGTTACCCAGGCTGGAGTGCAATGGCGCGATCTCGGCTCACCGCAACCTCCGCCTTCTGGGTTCAAGCAATTCTCCTGCCTCAGCCTCCCGAGTAGCTGGGACTACAGGCACGCACCACCATGCCCAGCTAATTTTTGTACAGTTGACAATCATGCCTATGTAAGGAAGCCTCCATAAAAACTAAAAGGCAGGCAGGGTTCAGAGAGCTTCTGGATTGCTGAACACACAGAGGCCGAAAGGAAGGTGAGAAAACCACACGCCAGGAGGGCACGGGCCACCTCCAGGGGGACAGAAGCTCCTGTACTTGGGACCCTTCCAGACCCCGCCCTCTCTGTCTCTTCATCTGGCTGTTTGTGTCCTTTAAAAATAATTCCTCATGATAAACCAGTAAACATGAGTGTTTCCCTGAGTTCTGTGAGCTGCTCTAGCAAATTAATCAAACCCAAAGAGTGGACTGTGGGAACCCCAATTGAAAGCCAGTCAGTAAGATGTTCTAGAAGCCTGGACCTGTGCTGGTGGGAAGGAGGGCGCAGTCTTGAGGGGACTGAGCCCTCAGTCTGTGGATCTGACGCTGTTCCCAGGTAGACAGCTTCAGAACTGAGTTGGAGGATGCCCAACCAGTGTCTGCTGCTTGGGGTGCAGGGAAAAACCCTCCATATTTTGTCACATTAAGTCATCTTCTATGCCAGTGATTGTTACTGTGGTGTGAGAGCAGAGAAAAACACAGTTTGGGGGGTCTGCCATGTACAGGAAAAAAACTACGGAACACCTTGTAGTTGCCAGGATGATGGATTCTATTACCTGCATACTTTTCTTTGACAGATTCATCCATAGACCAGAAACAATGATCATAAGCAAAAGCCTGTTGAAAGTAAACATAAGTGTGCATTAAGAAAACCTTATTTATCATATCATAACGGATAGAACTGTTCAGAATAGTGAAACAAAACAACTTATTGTCACATGCTAAGAATTAATTATGTCTGTACAGGCTTACAATGACAACTAGACATCCTATACTTGATATGATGCTGTATTTTACATGGAAACATATTCACAACGTTAAGTGACAAGAGGTTACAAAACAAAACGTGTCATAAAATGGCTACTGTACACATACTTGCACCTACAGTCACACACACAGAGTTACAGCTATAAAGCTAATTTTTTTGCAGTGAAATTAGTGATCTTTGTTTTCTTTATGTTTTTATATTTTCTCAGTATTTTTATTTTGTGGTCAAAGAAAAAGACATTTTTTAAATAATAAATTTTAAAGACACTCCCTACAGCATGACCAAAATAGCTTCAAATAGCAGAATGTTTTAATAAATCAAAATATGCCCATTTGCAAGTATAGATTTGAGGGTATAGAAGACTTACTGATGAAAAAAAGTTTATATTAATGAAAAAGTTATAAAAGTCTAGAGTATATTCCATATTTGTACAAAAAACTATATGCATAAAAAGCAGGTAGAGGCCGGGAGCGGTGGCTCAAGCCTGTAATCCCAGCACTTTGGGAGGCCGAGGCGGGTGGATCACAAGGTCAAGAGATCGAGACCATCCTGGTCAACATGGTGAAACCCCGTCTCTACTAAAAATACAAAAACTTAGCTGGGCATGGTGGCGCGTGCCTGTAATCCCAGCTACTCAGGAGGCTGAGGCAGGAGAATTGCCTGAACCCAGGAGGCGGAGGCTGCGGTGAGCCGAGATCGCACCATTGCACTCCAGCCTGGGTAACAAGAGCGAAACTCCGTCTCAAAAAAAAATGTATTTCAGTTGATATTTTGTCACTCTCTCCCACTTTGGGAGTGTGCTGCTATGCTTCCTGATGATGGTTTGTATGCTAGCGTGCAGGAATATCTGAGCAGGGAGTGTCTATTTTATGGTTTCTTTTTTCCTCTCTTGATGACCACCTTTCCATGACTAGTTTATGCTGTCATTTCCAACACTGAAGCCCAGATTTTGGTCTTCTCAAGGCCCAATGTCTCTATCCCTTCCTATTTACACACACATTAGCTCACTGTTGGTGGCCAAATATTGACTTGAAGCCTTCATTCACAGAGAAGCCTCACCCAAATCAGTTTTCAGATGGTGAGCTTGGCTCCAGTCCCCAATCACATACCAGGGCCCCCATCACTCGGCCAGAGTTGAACTTCCAATCACCTCCAGGTGCCTGGCCTGATTCCAAAGTCCAGGAATGTCACTTCAGCCCTTGATTACTGGTGGTCCTTGAAGTTATATATGTTGTTGTGTTTTTCTAATTTTTTGCAGAGATAGAGTCTCACTATGTTCCCCAGAATGTTCTCGAACTCCTGGCTTCAAGCAATCCTCCAGCCTTACTTAGCCTCCCAAGTACTGAGATTACAGCTGTGAGCCACCATGCCCAGCCATTATATGTTGTTTTTGAGTATGATGACATGATTTTAACATGTTCAAATATGTTATCTGTCCCAGCTACTCCGGAGGCTGAGGCAGGAGAATTGCTTGAACCCAGGAGGCGGATGTTGCAGTGAGCTGAGGTTGTGCCACTGTACTCCAGCCTGGCGCCTGGTGACAGAGTGAGACTCCATCTCGAAAATACATATAAATAGGTTATCTGTCCCTGCTATAATTTTGGTGTTGGTCGGAGAATGTCTCTGTGTGAACTCACAAGATTATCTGGACCAGAAGTCTAATGATTAACTTTTTTTAAGAAAGAAAATTAGGTTAAGATGGTAAATTAAGAATGAATACTAATATCCATTGCCTAGCTAAAATTAACTCAAAATAACAGGGGGTAAGGGAAACGAGGAAAATGGGATGGGCGGGGGGCGGAGGGGCGAGAGGAACAAGTTTTTGAAAGCAAGAGTGCTTGCTTGTGCCAGGGTCAGAACTGAGAAACTCCTAAAAAAAATAGTTCCCGTGAAACTGACGGGGGCAAGTGTGGGGCCGACAGGGCTGCGAAGCCAGTTAGCAGTTCTGGGAGGTACCAGGAGGACAACTAAAGGGGCAGGGAGACAACCCTGGCAGCAACTGAGAGGATGACTGGCTCAGCACCTCTGGACAGGTGAGGGTCCGCACACCCCTGTCTCTGTGTCAAACAGCAGGCAGGGGAGACACCTGTTCCCTGGATGGGGTAGTGGAGAGGAAGCGAGGCCAGGGAGTGAAAGCAGATGCCAGGGAGTGACAGGGAGGCCAGGAAGTGACAGCCCCCGAGAGCCCTTGGGCCCAGAAGATGTCATCTGCCTGCAGTGCTGTGTCCCACACTGCTCACCCTCCATGTCTTTCCAAAGCTAAACGTACATCTATCAGCAGTGGTGGCTGACTAAGTCGTTTCCAACCAGAGAGAAGCCAAAGGAGGAAGACGGAAGATGAACCCAAAAGGACCAGGCCTCACACTGTTTGGGAGGAGCTGCCTTGCAAACCCCATGTGCCACCCACGGTGAGAACCATTACAGCAGAGTGAGATTACATACAATGTGGAGGCCAAACCAAGCTTCTCCTACTCTAACTCTCCATGCTTATCTCCGCAATTTTATTTAATGCTGCTCTTAATAATGCTAAGTAGAAACCATCCTGATTCTTTCTCGAAAGCTTAGTTGTCACTTCAAAAGCCCTGTCACTACACATGCAGTAGTCATCCCTCAGTATCCTGAGGGGGACTGCTTCCAGGACCTCCCATGAATACTGAAGTTCAAGGATGTGCAAGTCCCTTATAAAAAATGGTGTGGCACTCAACGTGTAACCCGCACGTGTCCTCCCCATACTTCAAACCGTCTATAGATTACTTAAAACACCTAAGACGATGTAGATGCTAGGCCAATAGCTGTTATACTGTACTGCTTTTTAAATTTTTATTTTTTACTGTTGTATTATTTTTCATTGTTTTTCAAAAACTATTTTCAATCCATGGTTGGTTGAACTCACAGATGTGAAACCCGCAGATAAAGAAGGGTGTCTGTATATTTATCAGAGATAGGCTCTAAATGACACTCTCCTGTCCATTATTATTGGTTTTTTTTTTTTTTGCTTGTCTTTCTTTTAGGGATTTCTTTAACAATGACATTTCTTATTCCCAGTTTGAGTTGAGAGACTATCACCAAAGTAACCATAACCGAGCTAAGCCTGTGTGCTCAACACTGTTCAAAGGAACCTAAGGAACAAAGACGGTCAGCACCTCGCAGCTAGCAGGTGGGCGAGCTGGGATTCCAGCCACATCTGGCCCTAAGCTCCCTCCTCTGCACCACTACCCTAACTAGCTCCATTCCCCACTATGAAAGTGCCACAGCCTGGCACAAAGTTGGCGACTAATAAACACTCACTTCTTCTTTACTACAGCACTAAATGGTCCTCTTCAAGGTTTAGCAATTTTATAAATTATTATAGGTATCTTCCAGGCAAAGATCTCATAAAGCAGACAAGTATACACTGTAATGAATTCAAATAACATAGAAGCATAAAGGAAAGATCAAGGTCTCTCTATTCCACAAGTACCTCCCCAGAGGTACCACCGTGGTGTTTAATCTTCCGCGTGTTTCAGTCAGCCAGCATTTTCTCTAATCATGCAGCTGCATCAAATAAAAGATGAACAATTTGTAAATCAACAGGCAATGGTTCCTTTATATCTTCACTGCAACCTCCAGCCTCTGCACCAAAAAAATTTAAAAAAAAAAAAACAGCCGAGCGCGGTGGCCCAGGCCTGTAATCCCAGCACTTCAGGAGGCCGAGGCAGACGGATCATTTGAGATCAGGAGTTAAAGACCATGGCCAACATGGTGAAGCCCTGTCTCTACCAAAATACAAAAACTAGCCAGGCGTGGTGGCAGGTCCCTGTAATCCCAGGTACTCAGGAGGCTGAGGCAGGAAAATCGCTTGAACCCGGGAGGCAGAGGTTTCAGTGAGCTGAGATCATGCCACTGCACTCCAGCCTGGGCAACAGAGTAAGACTCTCTCTCAAAAAAATAAATAAATAAAAATGAGAAACAAAAATAATCCAGCACCTTTTCAGTAGAAAAGATGAGGGAAAGTTTACATATAAAAAGAAACCAGTGCACTATTTGACTTTTTAAAAATAACATTTTATATTGACAGAATGACTTTTTTTTTTTTTTTGGTCATTCAGTTCCTGTGGTCTAGGGGTTAGGGGAAAAAAATTAATAAATGATTCTAAAAAGTCAGAGACCTGGCTGGGCACAGTGGCTCATGCTTATAATCCCAGCACTTTGGGAGGCCCAGGTGGGTGGATCATGAGGCCAAGAGATCAAGACCATCCTGGTCAACATGGTGAAACATTGTCCCTACTAAAAGTACAAAAATTAGCTGGGCATGGTGGCGCGTGCCTGTAGTCCCAGCTACTGGAGGATGAGGCAGGAGAATTGCTCGAACCCAGGAAGCAGAGGTTGCAGTGAGCCGAGATCATGCCACTGCACTCCAGCCTGGGTAATGAGCAAAACTCCATCTCAATTAAAAAAAAAAAAAAAAAAAGTCAGAGACCCAAACAGCCATGTCTATAATAAACATTTTAGCAATAATAATAGAGAACTGAATTAAATTCAGCCACGGACTCTAAAAGAAAAAATCCCAAGAATGGAGATAAAAATCTACATTTCCTGGGCGTTCCAAGTGACTTCACGGTCAGTTAAGAAACACAGTCTAAGTGTCCACTTCAGCAACGCTCCACATTCCCCAAGAAACAGAGGTGAAAAGGTACGTTCCCTTGAGGTGGCTGTGGCCGCGAAGGTTTCTGTTGGCTGGGAATGCACCCCCAGCTGTCTCAGAGCCATGAGGATGAGTCGGCTTTGACCTCGGTTTGGAACTACCAGTCTTGAGCCAATCTATGGAGGCGGCTTGAAGCCGCCCAGGTTTCTCTTGGCCGGGAATGCATCCCTAGCTGTCTTGGGAGCCGGGAGGATGAGTCGGCTTTGACCACAGTTTGGAACTACCAGTCTTGAGCCAATCTATGGCACAAAAGGAATCTGTGTTGTAGCTGCTAGACCAGCCAGAGTTGGTCAAAGTACAAATACAGCTTTTCCACAAATCTCCAGCCCTTTCCAGGCCCAGAAATGGCTTCAGATTTGTGAGCAGGCTGACAGCTTGCATTACTTGTGTAACATGATAGAAAGTATTTTCCTTGTTGAGAGGAAAACTTCTAAGAGTTCAAAAATAAGCACATACGATCTTCGCAGGCATCGTATAACAAACCAAGTCTCTTACCTTTGGCTGGCCCCTGAGCTCCCAAGAGATGTCATCAGTAACGTGAAAGAAAAGTTAAAAAAAAAAAAAAGTTAGTTTAGAAGACTCTTTCTGAAGGGTAAAATAATAAACACTGTAAATTCACAGTAAGGATATAAAATACCACCTCTGAAGCCACGTAGTAACTTAGAGGATAAACAAACGTCTATTAGCTAGTAAGACGGTCTGCTAATCACAGACAACTACCTCGTGTCTGTACACTACCGGGAGGACTGAACACTGGACAATCGGAACAGACCTACTATTTCTGCCTTACAGATTGTGCTTTTATCTTTGTGTATGTCTTACAAATATATCTTTTTTAGCCTTTTATTTTTTTATCATCTGGTTTCCGTTCCAAGCACTTTTCTCTGCTTTGAAAAAGCAACAGCTTACTCTCTTATCTGAACGGGCTCTACTACAAAACAATGAATGCTATTCTATCTGGCTGAGGGAAAAAGTCTAAATTAAAGAAACCAGTCATTTCTTGCCAGTGAGTTAATACAGCTGAGTATCCCTCATCCAAAATGCTTGAAGTGTTTCGGGCTTCCTATTTTTTCCAGATGTGGGAATACTTGCATTATGCTTAATGGCTGAGCATCCCAAATCCGAAAATCCAAATTCCAAAATGCTCCAATGAGCATTTTGTTGGAGTGTCACGTGGGTACTCAAAAAGTTCCAAAATCTGGAGCATTTTGAATTTTCTATGTGGGATGCTCAGCCTGTACTTCCTGAATTACTCGCTACTTATTCCTCTCTGCACACACAAGCACTTCTAGCCTCCCGCCTTCCTCCCACTGAAATTGCCATTCACTGACATCTCCCTCAGGGGACAGGAAAACAACTCAGGGCATCAGCCAGTGGAACCCCGAGATAGTTTCAAACTTAGAGAAAAGTGGTAAAAAGTACAAAGAACACCCATAGACCTTTCCCCCAATTCACTAATTGTTAACACTGCCCTGACTGCTTTTCTCTTTCTCCTTCCCTCTCCCCCAGGCCCCAGGATTTATATGGATAAATACACACACACACATATATACTCTTTTTGCTGAACCATTTGAAGGTAACTTGAAGACATGCCTCTGTAACAATTGTGGTGTCCCAGAGAGAGAATACAAACATGGGTTTGTGGTTTCTGTTTGTGGTTGGACCAGTGAAGCCCCTTCCTCATCCCTCTTTTCTGCTTATCACTAGAGAGAGAAACTAAAAACCTTGGCTTCGGGCTGCTAAAAGCCTAAAACAGAACAGAACACCACCCCAACAAACTGAGGGAGGTGAGACAAGCTTTTCTAAACTTCCTAACAACGACCATGTTCACTTACTTAATGACAGGGCGATACTGAAATCAGACCATTTAAGAATAAAGGGAAGTACTTTTGAAACCGGAATAAAATAGGAACAATAATAACTGGCCCTCCTCAGAGGATCAAAACTGCAATCATCAGGGCCCGAAACCTGAAAGAAAACTGTGCACGAAAACGTTTTCTTCCAATTGTCTTCGACCACCCCTTTGTCTCTGTCTCTCAAGACTTTCTTCTGAAAGAAATTTAATACTTACTTGTATCAGATGATTTTAGACAAGAACATTAAAACACCACCAAAAGTCTAGCAAATGAGTGACACCCATCTAACAGATTTGAGAGTAATATCCAACGTGGTGACTACATAAAAGAAAATAATTTCTCTGGAGTAAGAAAGTAAGACATGCGGAAGAACTTCCTGACAAAAATACGTCTGAAATGCGTATACGATGCTGGCAGAAATGTAAATTAGTACAACCTCTCTGGGAAATAGTGTAGACATTTCTTTTGTGAGACAAAGGTTTCACTCTTGGCACCCAAGCTGGAGTGCTGTGACAGGATCTCAGCTCACTGCAATCTCCATCTCCCGGGTTCAAGCGATTCTCCAGCCTCAGCCTCCCGAGTCGCTGGCATTACAGGCAACACCACACCCGGCTAATTTTTTGCAGCCTTAATAGAGAAGGAGTTTCATCATGTTGGCCAGGCTGGTCTCAGACTCTAGACCTTAGTGATCTGCCCGACTCGGCCTCCCACAACGCTGGGATTACAGGCATGAGCCACTGTGCCTGGCCAGAGATTTCTTAAGAAACTAAAAGTAGATTGACCATTCGATCCAGCAGTCCCACTACTGGTAGGTACCCAAAGGAAAAGACGTCATTATGTGAAAAAGACATATGCATACGTACGCTTATTGTAGCACAATTCCCAACTGCAAGGACATGGAACCAACCTAAGTGCCCACTGACCAGTAAGTGGATAAAGAAAAAGTGGTGTATATATATATATGCCATGGAATACTACTCAGTTGTAAAAGGAATGAAATCATGTCTTTTGCACTCTTGGATGGAGGTGGACGTTGTAACTCAGGAATGGAAAACCAAATATTTCATGTTCTTAGTAATATGTGGGAGTTAAGCTATGAGCATACAGAGGCATACAGAGTGATATAATGGACTTCGGAGACTCAGAAGATGGGGAGCGGCGGCGTGGGGGGAAGGATAAAAAGACTACATATTGGGTACAATGTACACTACTTAGGTGAGGGATATACTAAAATCTCAGAAGTTCCCACTACATAACTCATCCACGTAACTAAAAATCACTTGTACCCCAAAAGCTATTAAAATAAAAATAAATGTTTTAAAAGATAGAAACAAGCTTTTGAAAATAAAGAAAAAAATATATCTGAAATACTGAAGAGGTTTCTGACATGCTAGCATCTTTTTATGGTCTTTATAACCAAAGCAGATTCTCATCAATTGCAGATGGCTTTGTTAAAAACCTAGAGGGAGGTAAGAAGAGAATGCAACGTGGATCAAAGGCCCCACTTCAGGCCAGGTGCACTGCATGCTACATCTCTCCTTTCTCACAGGAACTTTGCAAGATACTATTAGGACTCCAGTTTTAGACATGCAAAAAATACGGCTCAGAAAAGTCAACCCTCATACTACAGGTTGAACATCCCTGATCTGAACATCCAAAATCTGAAATGCTCCAAAATTGGAAACATTTTGAGCAGCAACATGATGCTCGTTGTATAAGTACAATGCAAATATCCCAAAATCCAAAAAAAATCCAAATCCAAAACATTTTCCAAGCATTTTGGATAAGGGATACTCAACCTGTGTTAAGCAGGATGGATCTGGGATTGAAAGCTAGGTCTTCTGACTCCCAAAGTCTACGCTCTTGCCCACACTGATCAAAACACTCTCAACTTTATCTGAGTCACACATTAGCCACTTGTCCTGCTAACAGAAACATTTCCCGATATATTAATTTCTCCCATTCTAATGATTATCTAATAAAAGGTTAGCACTTGGTGCTTATGCCAGAGTACATTTACTTTTCACTGTATTTATAGAAACTCCAAAGTGTCTTTTGTGAGGGGAAAATATTTCAAGATATTTCAAGTTTAAATAAAACGTTTTTATAAAAAAAGTATCAACTCTTCCTAAGAGACCAACAAGTATGAAATTCACTAACATGACACACAGCAGAAGAATCCATGGAACTAACCTTTTCACATCATCATAATAAAAACAGAAACAAACCAGTAAATTAATTACAGAGCTAAGTTTGCAGCTAGGGAGTCTGGTGGCTATGACAGTAAAGCTCAAATAACCTGCACAGGCATGGGACACCCAAAGATGTAATTACAGCCCTGTACAAAAATAAGTAAATTAATTAAACAAAACCTTGTCAGAGTGTAGCTGGAATTCAATACAGCCATGTCTCACTCATCCCAAGGTCCCTTCATTAGAAACCTCAACTATCCAGATCACCGTGGAGATTCAGGAAGCAAAACCAGTTGCTGACCAATCCAGAGAAATGTCTCAAAGTACAAGCACTAAAGCTGTAATTTCCCAGCTGAGTATAATTATTTTTGTTGTTGTTGTTGTTGCTTAACTTCATTTTGAAATACTTTCAGACTCAGAAAAAGCTCCAAGTATGGTGTCAACAAATTCCTGTACACCCTTCTCCAAGCTTCGTTCCCCAAATGTTTCTTAGATCGCTACAGCTACAATGGCCAAAACCAGGAAATTAACCATCAACACAGTTTATTAAACAACCTACAGCCGACCTCCTCCAAATTTTGCCAACTCCCCCCATTAATGTCCTTTTTTTGGTCCAAGACCTTGTGTTACAGATACTTGTCACGTCTCCTCCAACCTGGCACAGTTTGTCTCTCATGACCCTGGCACTTGAAGTGGACTGGCCATTTATTTTTTAGAATGTCCCTCAATCTGGGTTTGCCTCATGCTTCCTCCTGACTAAATCCAGACTGTGCATTTGGCAAGCCTACCACAGAAGTGACAACACTGCGCCCTCCCTGGGGCATCTACCAGGAAGCATATGATGAGCAGGTTCCATTACGGATCATGTTAATTCTGATCACTTGGTCAAGGCCGTCTATGAGGTTTCCCACGGAAAAATTACTATTTTTCCCTTTGTAACTAATAAGAATCATTGGGGGATAAACTTTGAGACTATGTAAACACTGTTTCTCATTACACTTTCGCCCACGAATTTTAGCACCCATTTACAATTCCTGCCTGCAACAATTGCTACCTTCCAAATGGTGGCTGTTGAGTTACTGGAGACCTGCCCAGCCCAGGTGGATCACCACGGAGGAATGTGCTTTTACGGAATAAGGCAGCTTGGGAAACAACAAATGATATGGTTGTATATCTGGGATAAAAACAGTTATCTATGAATAAACTATCCTCTTCCTCCTTTTTACTGATCTAGCTTGGGGGCTCCTGCTCACTTCTCATTTAAATAACAAATCACATCATACAAATAAATCAAATTATATTTGTAATCTCTAGAATCCCAAAATATGAAGAAATTTTATAAACTGATCACCTCTGAAAATGTTTTAATACTTCTCTCCATGACACAAAAAAAATTCATATTGAGTCCAAAAATAAACCACACAGTAGTAAAACATAAAACACTGTCAACAGAATGCAAA